CCAGCACGGACGGTGCCCCTCACCTCCTCCATGCCCGCGGTCCGGGATCGTCCTGTCCGTGGCTCCCAGCACGTCCCAGTTCCACTCTGAGGGTCCCAACACGTCCTGGTTCCACTCAGGGGCTCCGGGATGTCCTGGCTCCACACCCAGGCTCCCAGTAAGTCCCAGTTTTCCCGCAGGGTCTCAGCAGGCCCCGCTCTATCCCGGGGTTCCCGTTCTCTCCCAGTCCCCCAAAGTTCCCGTTCTCCCCTGGTTCCCGCTGTCTCCCGGTTCCCTGTTCTATCCCCATTCCCCCCAGGTTCCCGTTCTCTCCCGGTTCCCCTCACATCCCCGTTCTGTCCTAGTCCCCCCCCAGCTGCAGTTCTCTCCCGGTTCCCCTCACATCCCCGTTCTGTCCTAGTCCCCCCCCAGCTGCAGTTCTCTCCCGGTTCCCCCCGGTTCCTCCCGTTCTCTCCCGGTTCCCATTCTGCCCCGGTTCCCCCCGTTCCGTCCTGGTTCCCCCCGGACCGTTCTCTCCCGGTCCCCTCCCGTCCCGCGGCACCTCCGGTAGCTCGGACAGCGCCTCCGGCCCCGGCCGTGTTCCTGACGGGATTTCCTCTTCCTTTAACCGTTCAGCCGCCCCGCCTGGGGGGCACAGCGGGGCCTTTTGGGGAGCTCAGCCCCCCTCCCAACCCCCCTCAAAAACCTCCCAAAAACCCCAAACCCCCCTTCCAAATCCCCCACCCACCCCGGTGCCAGGCCGGTGCCACCCTCACCCCACAGAGTACTCCCTGCAACGGGACGGGGACTCCAAAACGCTTTTGGGGTGTGCAGGAAAATTTGGGGGTGCTGGGAGAGATTTGGGGTGCTGTGAGAGGTGGGGGGATGCTGGTTTTGGGGTGCAGGTGGGTATATGGGGTGCGGACATCGATATTTGAGGTGCAGGCGGATATTTGGGGGGTGCACGTGGACATTTGGGGTGCGGGAGGCAGTTTTGAGGGTGCACATGGATATTTAGGGGGAAAAACGAGCATTTGGGGTACAGAGGGTGGTGCACGGGGATATTTGGGGTGCGGGAAGCCGTTCGGGGGCGTTCACACGATGTTTGGGTTGGAGCAGGGGGATTTGGAGTGCAGGATGTGGTTCTGAGGGGTACACGGGGATTTGGGACGCACGTGGATATTAGGGGTGCAGGTGGATGTTTGGGGTGTGCACATGGATATTTAGGGTGCGGAAGGCAGTTTTGGGGGTGCACATGGATATTTAGGGTAAAACACGAGTACTTGGGGTGCAAAGGGCAGTGCACGGGGATATTTGGGGTGCAGGAAGCCCTTCGGGGGAGTTCACACGATGTTTGGGGTGGAGCAAAGACGCAGCGCGGTTTAGAGGGGCATTGGCGGGGCGGAGGGGGCGGTGTTCCGAGGCTTTGCCGGAGGTCGATGGGGACTACAACTCCCAGCAGCCTCC